GAAGCTGTCTATCAGGGATTTTTTTATTTGCTTGATATTGAGCAGACAGCAGAGACAAAATACCAAAAATGCTTGAAATCCTTATGACCTTTCACTGCAAACTGTGAACTTTGTCCGCTAAACTCAAATTTCTATTTACACTGTCAGCAGAGGCTCCATGCTGTTGCCTTTTCTTCTTCATCTTTTCAGTCTGTCATTTATCAAGGGACAGTTTCACAAACACTGCATAGGAGGGGGGACCTGAGCACATACCAGACCTTTTGCACATTCAAAATACTTAGTCACCATTCTGTGGATTCCTTAAAAGTAGCTGTAATGCAAGCAAAGGAGCATGAAATACACTGTTTGCACCCAAAGGAAATATTCTATAGAAAGTCTTAGCTTTTCCATCAGCTGGCATAGCTCACATTCCCAAGTTGTGTCCCGAATCCTCACTGCTGCACAGCTGACTCCATTTACACCATCTTCCATTAACACAGGAATACACAAGTGACTACTGACTAAATGGTCCAAAAATACATTCAGTAAAGAACTGCATCACCTTTTTAAATGAAATATCCCTGATTCCAGCCTTGTGCTTCAACATTCATCCACTCTTGTAAATGAGCAGCTAGGCTGTTGCAGAGAACAAGTGCAGGGGAGATTTCAGACATATAAAGTAGAAATTATGAAAACTGAGGGTGACTGAACACTGGCATTGGTTGCTAGGGAGGTTGTGGAGTCTCATTGTTGGAAATAATTCAAGAACTTTCTGGACATGGTCCTGGAAAACCAGTCTAGGTGTCCCTGTTTGAGCAGGGGTGTTTGACAATGTGACTTCCAGAGGTGTCTTTAAACCTCAATCATTCACTGATTGTGAAATTGTTCCTATGGAAGAGTACTGTGAACTGTAATATTTGTTGCTGTTTGTGTGACTTTGCCAATTAAAACAGGACAGCCTTAATCAGTTATTTAATACACCAGACAGCTACATAAAACTCCTTTGAACTGAAATACAAGGTTGAATTATATAACAAATGTTTTAGCTGACCTCTTAGTATTAGATGGGCAATTATTCTGACTGTATTTCAAATTTCATTTCACACTGTGGTAGCATTCCTTGAACTTTACAAGGCAAAGGCATTAGTAGAGTTGTGTCTGAACTCTTTAGGGTCTAGAAAACTGTCTTAAAATACGACATTTCCTGAGAGACTTCTGCATAGAAAATACATTGGTGTTTCCAAAAGAAACTGAGTTCACAAGGAATCATTTCATTGATACATTATGTTAATGAGGCTTTTGAAAGAAGACTTTTCACTTACTGTTACTTTTCCCTGAATGTGAAAGCTATGGAAAATGTGTGGAAAGCATTTGCAAAGTGGTGATGGCAGCTGTATGCTCTGTATGTTACTGTTAATGAGCTAGCTGTTAATAAACCATATGCTTTAGCATATAAACAGGAGGATTTATGCATAATGCAAAACCCATAAGAAGATTTATTGTTTGGTATAACTGCTTCCCAAATCAGAGAGGCACATTGTTCCAGTCTTCCACAAACTTCCTGTTATCAGTATAAAAAATCTGCTGCCTACTGGCTTCAAGTTCTTTTCATGTGAGTTGGTCTGGGGAGTAGGGGAGCTCGGAAGCAGAGAATTTAATGAGCAGCAGGTTCCTCGGATCTCTGCTCTGCACAGCCTGGGATCATAAACTTGTCATCATGGTTACTAACAGCAAGCAGGAGGTATCTATACAATATCTCCAATTCTAATGATTTGTGGAGGCAAGTTCATCCTGTTCTTTTTATGTGTTCTTCTGTACTGGAGATTTTTGTGTCAATTATCGCTACTAAAGCCCTAAACAAGCCCCACTTCTGCAAAACACAGACAAAAGCAACCATTGGGTTTATTCACAGTAATGCTTGGATTAGTTAAAGAAACCACATTCACCAACAGGAAAAGTAAATTTCTAAGCTATTGAATAACACTGCTATGTTTGGAAAAGATTTTTCTTTTGTAATTCTCCTTTAATTTCCTCCCATCCAGAGCTGCTGTGAGGAGTCTGAAGCTAGGTTTTCATGAGTGAGTGAAGGAGTCCAGCAACTGACTCCTATTTAAAATAAATGGTCCTGGAAATGTAAGGTAACATTTCCATAAATACTTGAGTAATTTGAGGTTTAGGTTCCACTAAAAGTCATGGAGTGTTTCCAGCTCCCCAAGTCAGACAGGGAAAAGGCAGACCAGTAAACTAATCCTTACTATCAGATAAGCAGGGATTGAATGGAGGCACATAAAGCACAAGAAAATGAGGAGGAAACTGTGGACAGAGGAGATACCTATGTTCAAGAAGCTTATACATTGAGAGGCATAAAAACTAGTTCAACAGGAAAAAGGATAGACAGAAAAAATATCAGACTATATAAACTGAAACATTACTTTCAGTTGCTTAGGTTTGCTTTGGATTTTGAGATACGACCTCAGTAAATCCACATAAAATTGTATAACTTTATCACCTGACTCAGTGCCTCTGAATTCAACACAGTTTTCTTTTTTCATTTGGCCTCCTGATCAGATTAAAAAGTGTCTAAAGTCAAACTGCACATTCTCGTAACCTTTCTAAATAGTTTTGCTTTCTTCATTTCAATTGTTGTTTTTCAATTTAAAAATATTAAAATACCACTTTTGGGTGGGTAGTGACTACCACGACACTGTGTAGAAAACCAAAGCAATTTGAAGCAAGCTAGACATTCTAAGTACATTTTTAAAATACCTTATTGCTTAAATAAAATAAATCCCTTAGTCTAGCAATTACTTTCAGATGTTTGATTGTTTATTTTTAAAGAGCTGTCATGTCAACCATTTAGAACTGACAAGAACTGTTTTGAAATCTTCACGAGTTTTCTCTAATGTTTGCTCCCCTCCTTATATTGGGAACTACACACTCATCTTCATTGTCTCTTGTATTTATCTTAATTTCACTGTGTTTTATTGTATTATTGGAGGAAAACTTAGCAGAACTGTTTGTGGCAAGATTTAGTTACAGGAAACCCAACAGCTAAGCCCCAGTTTCAGCTGAGACAATTAGACTGTTGATTTTGGTAGCAGCTCAGGACTTCTATTTGACCCAAATGCCTTTCAGGTCTAGCTGCCAGTTGATGCTCAAGTCTGAAAATTTTCTGTATTCTTGCTACAGATTGAGGGCTTTGTTTCCTTTTCATTTGAGGTATATTTCTATCCAGATCTGAATGTTTTGCTGAAATTCTTCTCCATTCACTGGAACAGATTAAAAGAAAGAGAAGAAATAACAATATTTTCCAGAACTTTCAACCTCTTTTTAAGTTTGTATTCCCCTTAATTCTCTGTTCCTTGATATCTGTGAATTGTTAAGGACAATGTTTTTCTCCAAGCAATTTTGCCACTCATGAAAAGTAGTGGGTGCTAATTTGTAATGCTCAGCTTAACTGTTGCTTTTTTCTGTCTAGCAGCTATATTTAATAGCTTATATTACTCTTTCACCTGTTGTAAAAAAGGACTCTAAAACACTGAAAACTCAATACTTTTAAAAAAGTGACCTCTGTTATGTAACACCAGAAGATATTTATTGAAAGGTTTGAAGAGATTACTAATGAACAGAGCAGTGCTGTTATACAGCCTTTTCATCAACTGCTACAGAAACTTCACATCTGAGTTACCAAAGCCCACTGCCATTCTTGGATGGATGTTTTCTTTTTCATCACTTTTCTTAAGTGGATGGGCTCTAAAACTTTATGGATGCTCTGGGAGAATGTAAATACTAACTGAGAAGTGTTTTATTCTGTCAGTAGTTTATGGGCTATAGTCTTGAGCATTTTTTTTTCTCTTTTTTTTTTTTTTTCCTTCTTTTTTTTTCTTGTTAGACTTTTCTAGCACCTGATGTAGGACGGGTCACAGCAGCTGATGCTGGGTTAAAACAGTTACCAGGGACAGCTCCGTCTGAAATTGTCAAATCCTGCCAATCCCATCCTCGAAACAATGCACCAGTCTGCCCCACTGGGTTCATAATTCAGTGCTCCTCAGTGAGTACCCACCAAGGGGGTTCCCAGAGCAGGGTCTTTGCCAGGGCTGGTGCTCTAGAGGCACATTGTGGAGTCATGTTTGTGTGACTCTGCTGGTTTTTCATCTCAGACAAATCATGTATGATTCCTCCGCAAGCGAGAAACGCTATTGAATGTGGTGCTCATCCTCCTGAAAAGATGTCTGGAAACTCCAAGGGATTTACATGATTAATTCTTACCATGTGGATTCTTTTAATTAATTAGCTTTCTAGAAACCAAAACAGACTGCAGGACACTACTGCAATGCAACTTGTTAAGCAATGAAGCGTTTTTTCTTCCAAAAGTCACACTTGATAACAAACAATACTCATAGGCATAAGATGACTGTGGACAGTATGAGCTAATGTCTCGTTGTCAGAAAGTTTTCCATTAAGGCTCAGAATGATGTTTAACATATTCTTCCCATTATTGAGCTAAACTAAACATTGTATTAAGTATGGATTTCTCAATGAATGTTACTGCTGTTTATTTTAGCATGTACATACATGGAAGTGGACACATGTGCATTTTGGGATCAAAAGCACATCAACAGTGCAGTTCACTCTAGTCCCAGGATAAAATGTTTTTTCACATTTCATTTTTAATAAGACTGTCCTTACTCTTTTCTGACCATAAAAGTATATTTAAACCAAGCTTCTTTACAGAAACACAAAATGCCAAAGTTACATGTTCTCTCCTATCAATGGAGAATGACTAGAGAAAGGGTAGAGTTCTTTACAATAAAAAGTGCTGCTGAGGATGATCACCAAAATTTATATACTGGATAGTTTTCCACTCAAAATTCAAAAGCTTTGGTGTATAGCAAACACTTGAATAACTTTGCAGATTCTGTGTAGGTGATGGCTTTAAGACAACTTCAATTTCAAGCCTTAATGCATTGTTTTGGCATTACATAGAACTCACTTAGGATTGCAAAGCTGAATATACTTACATTGAGGTTTTGGGACAAGGCAGAAGATGGACAGGTTGGTTGCTTTGCACTCTAAGAGACACAGATTTCCTGATCGTTAGGCCTGGTGTTATTTTGTTGATTTTAGGTTGATCCTAGGGGGAAAAAAAAGCTTTTAAGAAATGTATGGGCATATCCTTTTATTTTTTTCTCCCCCCCAGAAATATTAAGAACCACTGATCAAAATTTTCAAACGTAGTGGCCTAACCTAGTCTTTTAATTCCCTATTCCAGCTTCTTACTCAAGGTCTACTGTTCAGAAGTATGAAAACCTGGCAACCCATTCACTTTGAGTAGCCTTTTTAGTTATTCAGTGCTTGTGAAAACTGATGTAGCAGTTTGAATATGAACCAAAAATCCAAGTGTTCAGTGTTTTTGTTGGCAATCCTGTAATAATTATGCTGTAAATCAAAATATGGGTTTGGATTTCAAAAGTGCCTTGAGCCTTGTTCCCACCCTTCTACAAAGACACTGCATAACTTTTTCAGATTACAAGGTATAAAATTATCAGTCTGAAATACAGATGAAAAACTTTTACCTAATCTTTTATTTCTCCATGTGTGTCGTGCTCATGAAAATGTACATACAAACCCTTTCATGAAACACATAAATAAAATCATTAGTTCCCAAGAGGTATTGTGCTTGGAAACTACCAAAGTCCCAAGCATTACTGCACTCATAATGTGAGGATGCTAGCAAGAGGAGCCACAGACAATGCTAGTGTCATATATAAATTAAATCTGCTTTTCTATTGTATATTCTGATCATTCTCACACAGCAGCTACCAAGACCTACAAGTTTTGCCTGACACAAATCCCACTGACATGACTGGGAAGAGTCTCTGATTTGTTGGGTTCAGCTGCCATCGAGCTGTTCAGGGCTCAGTTGGGGATGGAGATTTCTGGATGAGTTCCAGCTGGAGCACGTACTGGAGTGCTGTGCTGGATCAGAGCTGGGGAGGGCCCTGCACCTCTCTGCTTAGCCCCTGCCCTCAGCTGCTCACCGTACACTGCGCTTGCTGCTCAGCATCCGTCCCACAGGGAGCCATGGGCTCCTGCAGCCCAGCTCATGGATAAGCAGCGTGATCGCTCTTCACCTGCTGATTTACTTTGTGGTTGAAAATTGAGGTATTTGGCCTAAGATCTTCCTTGCCTGTGTTTTTACTCTCCAGAGCCACTGGTTTCCCAGCAGTCAGAGTAACTCCAAGGAGCCAAACACACTCAAAGGTATCTCTCCATTTAGTTTTAGCATTTTATCAGCCAGGGCAAAATGCAAATTCAAGAGTAGTGGCTCCTGACCTCTGCAAGGCTGCGCTGCAGCAGTGCCCTGTACCCCAGCACCCAGCTTCCCCAGGCAGCTCTGCCCTGGGTGGTCTGGCCACCAAGAGACCATGCAAACCTTAGGGGTAAGAGGCATTTGGAAAGGGAGGAGTGCTGATTTCCCAAGGGAAACTTGCTTGACTGTTTTACCTCAGATTTATGCAAGTCCATTTGGGATGTGCCCACTACCCTGTTTCATCTGAATGCCACACCAGGGCAATTGTAAGGTCTCTCAAGTCTGACAAAAGAACTAGTTAAACTATTCTCAAAACAATGCGTTTTAACAAAAGAAGCTTGAGTTTTCTAGACAGAGAACTGTTTTCTGCCAGAAAGGAGATCTCCAAACATCAGCCTGGTACCTCCAGGGTACACTTGCCACCCAGTCCCTGAGTTTCTGATTGCTAGCTGGAATCTGTTTCTCCCTTCAGGTGACTCCGGCTGCCCACCTAGTCCGAGCATGGGCTCTGAGAGCTGCTGCATCATGGCAGCCCGCTAAGCACCTTCCTCTCAAAGCTCAAACCTCTTTCAGAAAGAAACTGACTGCTTTTCAGGCCCTTTTTCTTAGACTATGGATTAAATTAATCACGAGACAAAGCTTTCTGGCCTCTGGTCTAAAATTTATTTAAAAAAATCTCTTTAATGACAGCAGGCCAGGTTTTCTGGCAATACCAGTCTGGTCTCCAGTTGACTCTTGCTTTGATAGATAATCCATATTGATTTTCTCCTGACTCCATATCTCTTGTAAGCAGATCCCTGATGAGTTTGTGGTGCAGTTTAGGAGGTATGTGATCACCTGGGGAAGCAATAGGAGATAATGTCCGAGTGCTGTGGACTATTTGCAATTGATTTCATGCCATTCATTGGAGCTGTACAATGCTCCAATGTGTGGAAATGGAAATACGTATTTCTGAGAGGACTCTAAAGCATGAAGAGCAGAAACTGCCAATGTGTTATGCAGAACTTTGTTGCCATTTACTTCCTAGTTTTCTAAGGAGTAGGTTTTCCTTGTTTATCCTGCCAAACAGGCCTTCTGCTTCAAGGGATGAGGCAGTAATTCAGAACACATCTGCAGCCTATCAGAATTTTTAGGGACACCCCTGTGCTCTGCAGTTCAGCTCAGGATACAAACTTCTATGCAACTTGCAGGTATTTAGGTTTGGGGCTTTGGCTCAGCCTCTTGAGTGATTCAGGAGAAGTCACCAAGTCAGAAGTAGCTTTGTATACTTAGCAAAATGGCGACCTGCCAGAATGAAGGGGATGGCAGCTACTTTGCCTGTGACTGAGGAGAGAGGGATTAGGCCTTTTAGCCAAACAGCTCATTCCTGCCTCCTGTTTGTACCATCCATGCTGCTGTTACAGCCTTTGTGGGATTAGGGAGAGGGTAAAGGAGTGCCAGTGTGTACCAGAGGGCCCCAGTACAGCAACAGCAGTCACATCTGTCCTTTTATCTGCAGCAGGATTTCTCTGCCTTTCTACTCTGGCCCTGGCCTAGTTTCTGTTCCTCCAAAGCAGGACTGACCCCTCCCTGACAAACAAGAAAGAGCAGAAAAATGTGTAGACAGGTGATGTTGGAAACAATGGAAGTAAAGGAAGGTCACTTGGTGTCTTCCCTCCAAGGAGGAAAGAAAGGAAGGAAAAGAAGGGGTCACGAGGAGAAGCAGCTTCATGAGCAGAAAAAGTGCCCTGTCTCCTTTAAACTTCCCCACACAGAGGTTACTCAATCCCCACCTTTCACATCTTTCCCCATCCCACACCACCACTGCTACCCCTGCCTGCCTTGTCTGCTCCAAGGATGCCCTCAGCTTGGGGTTTGGTAAAGCTACACAGTGTAACAAATAAAAAGATAAATTCCAGCTCCAGTAGATCACTGAACAGGCTCCCACTGATTTTTCTTAGGGGAACTCCTGGCCACTTTGAGATGTTTTCTTTAACATTCATTTATTATTGTTATTGTTATTGTTATTGTTATTGTTATCCAGCTCTTCATGTCCTGAGACCAATCACTTGATGTGCATTCTTCCACTTCACTACTTTCAGAACTGAAAACCTGTAATGATGCAATAACTTCTTTTTACTTGAAAAAATAATCTCTTGAAAGATTTCCTACTGATGCAGTCGCTGTCTTCCCTGTGTTATTCAGATCCTGATATATATATTAAGTCTATTTGAAGAAATCTCAAGTACAAACCTTGATGTTGAGCAACTTGAAGCAACAAGAGTCTTTATTTGCTACGGAGAAAGTAACTCCCTAGAAGGCTTCTTGGAGAAGGAAGTGAGGGAGGGAATATGAGAGAATGAGAGAAATCATTCCTAAGAGAAAATTTAAGCCCTGAATTTCCTGATTGATAAAGTTGCCTTTCATTCGTCTGCTTTTAAGAATTACTTTGTTCAAAATTGTATCTGAAAGGAGAGGAGAGAACTTATTTTCTGCGTACTAAATCTTCAAATATAGTGAGGTGGCTTGCAGTCTTCTTTCCACTCTGCTACCTGCAGGTATTAACTGAGTGTGGAAAACATTTTCTGTTTGCAATTCAAGTGCAGAAAAACAAAAGCAGAAAGGCAGAAAATCACAAAATCCCTGTATACTCCCTCAGCACAAAACCAGCATGATCCCTAGTTAATTTAAGTAAGCACAGAAACATAACTTCTATTTTAAGCAGGTATTTAAGTCCTGCTGATTCAATATTCAGCCCAAATGCAAATGACTTTTGTGGAATGAGGCTTGCACTGAACTGGATTCACTTAGTAAAATATTTCAGTCTGCAACTTGAGGGAGAAAAGAAAAATCTGGTCAACTTTTGGAAATGCCTCTGTAGCAAAATCACTTCTGTACTGATTGATTGTTCTTGTTTTCTAGGGAATTTTTAAGTAGTAGTTTTTTTTTTTTGTGAGAAAGTACTACTGTGGGATAGAAGGTTAATTTGGAGAAAAGCTACAAGAATGTATACAAATAATTGCATTTTTTGAAATTATTACAGAATATAGGACTTCCTAAACTGTACCAGAAAACATTAACGTCCTGGAACTGACATTTGCAATTTTTGAATTCCAGCTTTCCAAGTATAATTAGTGTCCTTGTTAATGTTTTGGTATCAAAGTTGGTACTTGCTTTGGACAAGACAGTCCATAAACTCAATTTTTTTCCCATTTATTATTTCCTTTACCACTGTTCCAGAGATGACAGCTGTAATATTTAATACTAAGAAATAGTATTTGAAATAGCATGTTTAAAAGTATTTATTAATTATAATATATATAAGTTGCTTTCATTTATAATTCATGTTTCTTCTGATATTGTTCTCTTTTCTGCTTAAAGTACCTGTGATTCATATCTTCCATTATAAAAAACACACAAATGATTTTACATAACTACAGTGTTTGTCTAATCACATACCAAAACAGAAGGTAGAGGATATGAAAATTACTTATGACAGATGAGTCACATTAATATTTTGTTCTAAGCCATGTGAAAAATGAGACAGAAGGGTTGGGAATCAGAACATATCAAAACCCTTAGTGCTTTAGGATCCAAAACCACAACTAGCTATTGAGGTGCAAAATGTTCTTTTTTAAATAAAGTGTGAGAAAGACACAAAGTTTTGGTTGCTTCAGAAATGGTGTGCCAAGTTTCTACCAGCGACTGAGAGTAGTAACAGAAGGAAGGGATATCATGGCATCCTCTTGCCTATTTTATTTTTTCCATTGTAGTAAATTCAGAATCATTCAGATAGTACTCCTGTTAGCTTTATGGGATTTCTGTGCTGCTTAAAAAATCCT